AGACCACCATAGGGGTCCGCCGCGATGTTGCAGCGGATACAGTGCTCGACTGCTGACCTGAAGGTCGTGGGTTCGATTCCAGCCGCAGTGGTCCCGTTTCGATGGAGGTGAAACGGTGGAGGCCCGTGTACTGTGGGTGCACGTTAGCGAACACCAGCAGGTCCAAATTTTACGAAGCCCTCCACTGCGGCGTCCCTCGTGATCACATCGTGGTATTCAAGCACGTGCTTCTAGCGACGCCACTCCATTTCTATGAGGTCGAAAGTGCCGAGTGACTTACACTGGTAACGGTTGCTAGAAAATGCGGATCGAAGAGGAAACCCAGAAACCAGCACGTTCGCTGATATGTAGGTGGTTGAAAAAATAAGCTTACGTTCAAGCCGGTAGAGCCGTCAGGGGAGTGGCCTTAGATATGAAACCACTCCCCCCCCCCCCAAAAAAAAAATTTTTTTTGCGTGTTGTATCTGCACAAATACGCGCACACACATGATCATGCGTAAAAAGATGCTGTACTTCCCCCCCCCCCCCCCCCCCCACCAGTCTGAGGTTGAAAACATCACCAACATGAAATTGGCGTTGGGGAAAGGGTAGATGCACAGTGTCAGTTCTTTGAGGCTACCACCCCCCTCCCCGGAATTCTTTTTTGAATACTGTACGTGCATGTATAGGCACACACATGCAAACACGCGGGCATTAAGGAAGAAAACCGTCCACCCTCAAAAATATTTCCGCCAACGCCTCTGCCCCTGATGTCCAAGGTTGAAAAAAAAAAAAACGTTAAATTGCTATAAGGAGAGAGGCAGTTTCAGTTCTTTGAGGCTGTTTCACGAAACAAGAAGGCAGAAAGAAAAGTGCACAAAGCACGCGCACACAATGCCCGCAGAAGGCCACGGCCCGAGAATATATACCTTCCAAAGCAGTCTAATATAGATATTTCTATGCCCGGGCGGGCCTCCCAGTGAACGGACTCCACAGTTGCCGATGTGCGGGAAGGTCGCCGCTTTGAAGATGGAGGGCCGTGTCTGCCTCCCCCGCCTGCCGCTAGGCGGCGGCCAGGACGACTGCGCGGTGGGCGTCGCCGTAATGCGCGCAAGCATCGTCGCCTTCGACCAACTTCCGCATATCGCCGCGGCCTTCCCCGGTGCACCGCATTTTTCCGCTGTTTAAGCCCGGGTATGTGTTTTGGCACTAACCTAGCCTTTGGTTTTAGCATAGGTCGGCGAAACACTGTGAAGATTACTCGTGAAATATATTTCGCGTTTACGACTCACTCTGACTTACCAAATTTTCCCCAAACCGGACTCACACTAGCGATTTTTTTTTCCTACCAGACTCACTCGGAGTCAAACTCAGCAATATATTACAAAGACTCGCTATAACTTGGACTCACGGCTCAACCCGAGTCTGAATGAGTCGACTCATGAGTAAGTTCCACGGGTTCTAGGTATTGATTGATTGATATGTGGGGTTTAACGCCCCAAAACCACTATATGATTATGAGAGACGCCGTAGTGGAGGGCTCCGGAAATTTCGACCACCTGGGGTTCTTTAACGTGCACCCAAATCTGAGCACACGGGCCTACAACATTTCCGCCTCCATCGGAAATGCAGCCGCCGCCGCCGGGATTTGAACCCGCGACCTGCGGGTCAGCAGCCGAGTACCTTAGCCACTAGACCACCACGGCGGGGCCACGGGTTCTAGGTAAAACAACGGAGAGTAAACACGCCAGCGATAGAAATAAGAAGCGGTTAGGATATTGGTGGCGGAAATGTAGCGAGAAAGTACACCATGACCATGACATGACTGGCAAGACCTCGTCTGCTGATCCATACAGGTGTCGGGATCGAACCGCGGGGGCCACAATTTTGATGGAAGTGAAAATGATTGAGGTTCGTGTGCTTTGATTTCACGTGCACGTTAGAGAACCCCGGGTGTTCGAAATTTCCGGAGCCCTCCACTACGCAGTCTCTCATCACCATATTGTGTTTTCGAGACGTTTAATCACGACGATTATTATTAGATTCATAATGCACAACGTGCTAAGTCGGCTTGCTGTTATGAAGCGTGTTTCACACGGGTGTACGGGACCGGAGTTTGCTAACGAAGCAGTGTAGCTCAGTGATACTGCATAAAGAATATCTGAAATTTTCGGCGGCTGGGGTGTGGGCATCCGCCTCTTCTTGCACTCCACCCCCCCCTCTTCTCTTCCCACCACAACATCGACGCATAAGACACCCGGCATTCGACGTATGCCGACACCTCTTCTCACATCTCGGTGCCGAAACATTTCCGCTTGCGCGTATTCTGACCGTTCAGAAGCAGAAGCGGCTCCATCTTTAAAATTTTGGAAAACCGTCACTGATGAAACCGCCGATGATGACGACTCGCCGCGCGTGTCTTATAGGTTCGGTGCATGTACTTCTGCAGCTCGCAAGGTCAAGCTCTTCAGATTTGAAGAAAATTTGCCACTTAACTCAGGGTGATTTTGAACGCAAAAGAGGAGAGGAGGAAAGTTTACTGCGGAAGGACAGGGAGGTTAGCCAGTTCTTAGACCGGCTGGCTACCCTGTGCTGGGGAAACCGGGGGGGGGGGGGGGGGATAAAAGATGACAAAAAGAAACGTTGCGAAGAGAGAAAGAGAAATAACAAAAAAAAAATAGCGACAGAGGAAAGGCAACATCAAAGAGTATAAGACACTAAAGTCTGTTTCTGAGGTCAGTTGTCCGCAAAAAAGCTCAGCAAAGCTTTCAAGGCCTTCTGGGCCTGAGTATGGGCTTGGCCAATGACCCAGAATCCGAACGCAAAACAAAGTGGGGGTGGGATGGGGGAGGTAATGACATACGCGTGGTCTGCACAGTATTGCGATATCATCGCTGCATTGCAAATGTGTTCCGCTTCTGAGATACGACTAATTTTTACGTACTTCGATACACAAGAAGTATCTCTAAGATACTGTCCCGATACTCTTGCATCGCGATACTGCCCAAGCCTTTGTAAAGGCTGCGAGATAACAACCGGCGTCAACAGTCTAAGAGAACGGGGCTGAAGAAACTGCACACCGGGAAAGAGTCCTTACACAGCGGAATATACGGTAGTACACGTTCTCCTTCGCTTCTCCCCTTCCCCCCACTCCTTTCGCAACACTGGCCCTGGCGGGGCGCAAAGCCGTCATCTTCGCTTTCGGTCTGCGACGGGGCAGTCTTGACCCGGCAGCTCGTCATCGCCTGGCAGCGTGCGAGGCGAGACGACCCCGGTAGGGGGCGGACGTGAAAATAGAGTGCGACCGGCCACAGCCGGGTATGCACCCGGGAGGAAGACACCCGCCCCATTTCGCCAGGCGTGCGATGACGCGTGGGTAGAGGGATATGTATACAAGTTGATACACATACGCCTTTAAACGTCTTGTCGGGTCACTTTAGTCGACTAACCTTATGCATCTCCCTTGGAAATGCACGCGGCACATGAGTCGTCCAATGGCGCAGCCATATTACAAAAGAGTTCCACCCTTTCAAGTGACCTAGCTATACCAGTTCAAGACGTAAGCCACCACCAAGGCGCGAAGAGTTAGGCGTCGGCGTCGAAATAAGTGATGCCGACTATCATATTGTGATGACGTAGGTCACCCTGAAATACCACAATCGGTAAAAAAAAAGAAGTTGCACTGCAAGGAGTACACAGAATGCAGCTGCAAAACTTTGTTTGAGCAAACAACCACGATGTACAGACATAATGGGTCCACGTAGAGGAAGATTATACAGGCCTTCTTATCGTGCTGCAGAGGCTATATTGCATTAGACACCATCTATTAATCTGCCCGAGGCAAAGATGACATTTCTTGAACGACATGCGAGCTCGTCGCACTGAACGCTTCTATGTTGAATCTTTTTACGTAGACTCCACTGACTATCTGGTTTAACTGCGTTTTAAGTTTCTCATGAATAAGCAATCCAGTCGCAAGCAGCACGTCGTTTGTCCCTTTTCTTGTGTGCTGCATTTTCTACGGCAACCTAATCATAATTATTGTTGGGGGTAACGTCCCAAAACCACCACATGATCACAGGAGACGCCGTAGTGAAGGGCACCGAAAATTCTGACCCCGTGGAATTCCTTAAGGTGCACATTAAGCACACGGGCCTCATGCATTTTAGCCTCCATCGAAAATGCGACCGTCGCGGCCGGGATTCGATCCCGCGACCTGCAGCTCAGCAGCCGAGCACGTCATCCACCAGACCACCGTAGAGGGTGTTTTCCCGCCAACTTAAGTTATCACTTGATGACGTAACCAGGAGACGCCATCATGAAGCCACAGGTTGCTATAATTTGTTATGACGTCGCTCGGCTGCTGATGCGACGTTCGCGGGTTGGTTCCCGGACGTGGCGGTCGCCTTTCGACGGAGGCGAAATGGTAGACGTTCGTGTGCTCATGCGATCTCAGTGCACGTCAAAAAGAACACCAGATGGTCCAAACTTCCGGAGCCCTCCTCTACGCCATCTCTCATAATCATGTTGTTGTTTTGGGGCGTAAAAGCCCACATATGATTACTAATCATCATCAGCAGCAGAACCGCCATCAAAGTGGACAGTTACATACGTTTGCGTGTTGCCCTATACAGACGCGTATTGAAGCATACGCCGATTCACACACACACACACAAATAATTACGACGTGATTGTGGTTATAAGAGGGAAAAAAAGAGAAAAGTGAGCCCCGTAACTGTCTGCACAGGGAGCGACACCTCAACAGTAGCTCACAAGGGATGGGGGTAAGGAGGGATTAAAAGGATAGGATTAAAGTCGCAGCAGGCCACTGGGCCAATCAGCATCGATCAATGGCGGAATTCGAGCGTCTAGAATAACATCCCTTGAAGGCGAAGCTCAAGCGTCCTTCAATTTCTTGTTTCTTACTGTTGCAACAAATATCGAATATAACGAACTAACTTACAGTGTCGAAGGTATACTTCGTTATAACAAGATTTGAATATATGCTCTTTGTGTCGCAGGGTGGTTCGCCATAATCTCGGAGGACGGCCACACGGCCGGCTACTTCAACTGCCTGGAACAGGTGGCCATGGCGCAGGTGTCCCACTTCCTGGCCAGGGAGCCCCTGCAGGGTTACCGCCTGCTGGGACACAGCCACGAGACCGGGAGGGCCGAGTACAGCCGCACCGTGGTGTGTAATGAGCACATAAGCTTTTTGTCAAAGTTTGAAAAGAGTAATGACACTACTTTGAGAAATCGTAAAGAAGCACAACGTTCGGTGTCTTGGTATGCAGTGTTGACGCTCTCCACAAACCATGTATCAGGGAACACGTATGAAATTCTTTAAATTTATTTTAAGATTTTCATCGTCCAGCTTCTGCAAGTCAACCTTACCGCAATGCGCATTATCCCAACGAGTGAACACAGTTCCAATGAATCAGCAAACTATATCCGTCCTACATGCAGCCGTTGGGGATAGTGGGGAGGTGGGTATTAATTCACAGAGATCCCCCTCCCCAACGGGTCAACACAGTTCCAATGAATTAGCAAACTATATCCGTCCTACATGGAGCCATTGGGGATAGTGGAGAGGAGGGGATTAACTCACGGAGATCTTCCTCCCCCTGCCTGTAAATACAGCATATTCGTCACGACTTCAATTCCTGTCAATTCCCTTTTGCAGGTTCTCCCCGGCCAGGTCCTGGGCTTCCTGGGAGTGTACGAGGACGTGAACATCCGTGCCACGTGCGTGGGCATGCTGCGCCCTGCGCCGGCCGAGTGCCGCTACGCCAAGTGCTGCCACGCGGCCACGGGTGACGTGGTGTTCGTGCCGCTCGGCTCGCGCGGCAAGTTCTACTCCGTGGCCCGGCGCTCGTCCCGGTCGCCGAACCACGTGTTCCCGCTGGCGCAGCTGCTTCGCTTCGCCCGTGTGCCGCTCACCGTGCGACTCGTGTGCGGACCGCTGATGCGCACGCCCACCGGCTTCACCGGAATACTCAGGCTCGAGCACGTACAGGTGCGCTGTAGACCTTAAGCGAAGATGTTTTACGGCTGAGATGTAAGGCTTTTCGTTTACAGCAGTGCAGTGACCTATCGCTACTTCTGCGCTTCGACTACTTAGCGCGTGCAAATGACAAACTGTCCTGATTCAGACATGGGCGTCGGCCGGAGTTTGTCTTGGGGGAGGTGTCCACTAGGGTTAACAACCGTCCCTACTGTTCATACAGCGTCCCGAGTCCCACATCATACCTTTTGGGAGAGCTATGTCCCAGATTCGATCCGGACAGTCCAGTTCCAAATTTTTGTGTTATCCAACGCACGCCCGACGACGCGCATCACGCTGTAAAACAGGAAGTTAGCTTTATTCGCACGTACTAGGCAATGTTGCGATGGCTAGCGGTGGCTGCGAGGAGCTTCGGCTTAACTTACTCGAGAAGTGCGACTACTTTTACGAGTACGTTCTCCAGCAAGAGGAAGTGCAGCGAACAGGGCGTAGCCAGCTGAAGTACCTCTGCAAGAGGTCACAAAAACAAAGGACCAATTAATCTGGAAGGTACCACCATAAAGAATACTTATTTCGATGGCTCCCTATGTTAGTTTACCCTTCCCTATCCCGGCCCGACCTCTTTCATGGAATTGTTGGTAACCCTAGTGCGAACCCGTGTTGCATTGCGGCTTGGGTATGGAGAAGCCCTGGAGTAGCTTCGGTGGGAGCACGTGTTGGTGTGACTTGAAGCGGGAAATAGCTCCTTTGGAACCCCCCAAGTCGACGCCCATAGATTTAGATGAGCAAAAAATAATAAACACAAAAGCGCGTACTGCTTTTTTCAAGGTTTCTGTAATCAGGCTTCACCGACAGCTTGGGTGCTTGAGGTGAAAACCACACAACAGCAGGAAGTATTTTAAGTCTGCCGCTGCATCACCTCTTTCTGCGCTACTACTTAGCAGTAGGACCACAAAGCTAGTCCCATCAATAGTAACTGAGTTTTCTACTGACTCACCAACCACATACTAGGAAAAAACTGCGGCCAAAGCGCAGTGACAGCTGGCCATAACAGGAGTGTTGAAGCTCCCACGAGTTGGTAATCGATCAACTTGGCTTGTATTAGCGCGGTAGATATAAGAACCACGATACTGATATGAAGAGAACGGTCGACGCCTAGCTTTCTCTTTACGCCTGTGTTGTGTTTCTTATATGTACCAAGCTAATACAAGCTAAGGCCATAGCAGGCTTCGATTATGCAGAGACACGTTGTTTCAGGTCGTGCATATTTTGTTCAAGCTAAATCACTATTTACGCCACTCAAAGTGACAGAAATCACCCGGTCAGTAAATCACTCGTATTGTCCCATATTCAATGACTCCTAGTTTTGAATAGAGGATGAGGGAGGCACGTTTCAGAACATGGTCAGTTCCACAGAAAGGAGGAGTCTGAATTGGCTGGAAGCCTGATGTGCACTGCGGCAGATGATTTTTTTGAATGCGACCACGCTAACGTACTGCAGTCGTTATATAGTGCCATTGTACAGCACCCGAAAGCTTTCGTTTTTTCTCCTGCATATTTGTAGTTGTGAAGACCCGCAGAAGACTCACGCATTGCTTATCTGTCCTGTACAGGAACAAGAAGTGGTGCTCGCCTGCAGCCTCCAAGAAGGGCGGCCCACTCTGCTCGAAATCGACATGGGCTCCACCTTCTCCTTCGTACCGGAGCGTGACTCACGCAAGATGGGCAAGTCAAGCCAGCTGTACAACCGCATGCTACGTCACTGCCTCGAGGAAGCCGACAGGTGGCGCAGCGAGATCAAAGTCGCGCATCACGTGGTGCCAAAACACCAGCTACAAGTGCCCGGCGGCCGCTCAGTGGTCCTCAAGAAGTCCACGTCTTCGGCGAGCAAGAAGTCGGCCTGCTCGTTCGTTGACCTTCCACCGTCTTCGGGCGTCCCCACGCTCAAGTCGCAAATGTCCACATCATCTAAGAAGTCATCCACATCCTCGACTTCCAGCAACCCGTTCAAGAAGCTCTGGTCGCTGCACAGGTCGGCATCCGCGAAGAAGGCCAGCGGGCCGCCAAAGTACGCTTCCTGCGATGGGTCTGAGACGGCCGACGAGTTCGAGAAGCTCGGAGTCTTCCGGACCGTGGGACCGAACGCGTCGACCAGGCTGTTCGCGTCCACGACGGACCACATCTACGAGTCCATCCCGAGACCTCGAGCAACCAGGACGCCACGATACCTGATGGCTAGGGACGTACTTCCCTTCAAGGCCTCCAAGGACTTCGAGCCAGCGGGCGACGACGGCTACGGCACGTCGCACATGGACAGTGACTCCGTCTACGACTCCATTTCATAGCGTCCCTCCACTGTTTGCGACAACGCGCCAGTTTGCTCTTTACTTCTTGGTGCTTGCTTGCCTGGACGACCCGTGACAGCCAGTGTGACTGTACGAAAGAGCTTTTCTGACCATAGACCTAGGACAGGCGCTTTGGAGTCGCGAGTGTCCGTGAAAATCAAGCACAAGGGATGTACACAACTGCATTCAGTACTTTACGCTTCCTTGGCTGTGGAGTTAAATAAGACGTCCGTGCGTGGACGGGCTGGTACAACTCGCAGCTTCTTAGCTCAGTTTCTACATCGTCAAAGAAGTGTCAAACGACAGACGGTGGACCAACATGTGTGAGCTCTTTGAACGTTACACAAGGTTTTCGCTGCTTGAAAAGATGAGGCAGTTTGGATGGAGTTGTGGCTGGTATGTTATAGCATGCCACATGGACAATGTGCGAATAGCAGCGAAAGCTGTCCCATGTTGGTGTGTGCACAGAAAACTTCCAAGAGCCAGTGAGACTGGCTGTAAGGGGACTTAGTGATGTGTCGGAAAATCTGCAGTTCGGAAGCAGTAGGTTTTTGTTACTCTCAGAGCTCATTCAAGCATTGAGATAGAGGCTTATAAAGTTACTAAGATAGCTCACACAAGGATGTGTGCATTGTGACATTCGGGACCACACCTTTGCGTCAATAATAAGAGCACATTCGTGCAGTTGTAAACTTGTCATGGCAAACTTCGCAAGGCCAGATATGCCACCAACCAGCAACATCCTAATCCTGTTATGGAGACCCGCACGATTATAATGTTGTGTATGCAACTGCAAAGTGATGCCTTAGTACGTAGACCCGAAGATTGCAAAAGGTCTCACTATTTCAAGTCAAGTCTTGTTCTATAGCGAAGGTTTCTTTAACAGCTCAAAAATCATATGTGAGATACTGATATTTCATAGTACTTCAACATTTTTGCTCGCTACTTTCCGATGTTTCGAAAGGACTCTGCCTATTTGTAGAGTGGATGAACTAGTGTTCAACATGCTCAATCAAGCTTAACCAACACACAAAAAAAAGGCGTCAGAAATAAACACAGTCCCAGCTTTTGTTCCTGGCATCATTTCAGGACTCCTTCCTGACTCGGGCATTTTATAAGTGCCAACCTAGAAACTTCTGAAATAGGGAGATTCGCCGTGGGTAGGTCGAAATTTTTTTGCCTATGTGATCGGTTTAGGCTACGGGATTTATGCTGATTGCTACAGTTCACCGTATTAAACGTGGCCCTGCAACACTGTTTGAACATCGTGAACTTATTTACAGCGCAACACCAGAAAACACAGGACAGGGAAGGAGCAAAATAGAAAGAAAAAACAGCTCTTTTCTTTCGCTCCTTTCTTGTCCTGTGTTTTCTGGTGTTGCGCTGTAAATAGGTTCACGATGGATCCCAACCAACTGGCCCAACTTACCGTCTTACTCTTTGAACATACTCGGAGAACACTGCCAGTCAATAGTCAAGGTGCCAGTGAACAGGTGAGCCAAACATAGCACTGCATGTTGAGAATAAATAATACCATTTTAGACTGGCAAATCGCGTTATTGAAAGAACGGACATCGGCAGTGGCTGGTTTCATAATCATGGAAGCATCCTCTGTAAAATGGATACTGATAATTCCGAGTTCTATAAGTAAAAAGAAGTGTATTGCTTCGCAAACACTGAAGAAAATACTCGCCTAAAAGGGCCCTCAAACACTTTTTCAAGTAACCATGGAATGAATTCACTGGAAGAGCTCATTGCCTTACGAATTCAACGCCACAAAAATTTTTTAGAACCCGTCCAGTGCGAGTCAAGTTACAAAGATTTGTTGCATGCTGCAATCGCATTGCCTTTTCTCTCCTCCCAACGAAGCCGCTGAAAGCTAAGCCGGGAGGAATCGCAGGGCCAAAAAAACTACCTCACCCACGCTTCATGACCTTGAGCACTTTTTTCTTTTCAAATGCGCGGCTTTTTCAGTGTGATCGCTCCCACACGTGTGGACAAATAGCGGCCTTCTGCGGCGATCTCTGTAACGACCAAGCGCATCATGTTCAAATCAGTCAATGGCTGATAGATGGGCTTTGTCATTTGTCGAGAGAACAAGAGGCAATTTTTAGCTGACTTTGATAATTTATTGTGAATTTCAGGCCACGTGCTGCGCTATATTTGTCTCGCGTGTTGTCGGGAGCCTCTACTACCGATCGGTAGCGTCTTCTGAACATGCTAAAAAGGTGTTGCAGGGTCCCTTCAAAGCTTCCCGTTGCGATTAACGGTCGTCTGCTTATTACATTTTCTCCTACATTTACAGCGAGCCACTGGTAAAGTGAACATAGCAGCAGCAGCGGCCGCTCGGCGCGACAGCCAGCTGCAACGAATTCCACGCAGGCGCAGCGAGTACTGAGCGTGGTGCTCTTTCATAGCGTGAAAGTACAGTGTTCTAGAAGGAGGTTCACTTCGCGAAGGATTGAAGCCACAGACGATAGCGGACGATGAGAGAGCAAGCCCCACTCACAGCGCACGCTGTGCCTGCACGTAACTGTGAGTGAACCTCGGAGCACGCTTTAAACATCGCAGTGCGCTATAGAATAAATAAATTAGCGCACTCCGAGGTTTTCTTAAATATTTACAGACACAAATTATTACTTTTCAGTATACCCGAAGGTATCCTCCACAGATATATGCCAACGCTGAAAAAAGGCGCGAGCCATACGGAGGCACCTCCTCTGGGACTGTGCACCACCGCCGGGTAACCAACAATCAATGCCGAGTAACATCAGCAGCAAAATCATGAGCCAAGGGCCAGGCTACCAAGACATGTGGTCCAGCACGTGCTTGGCATATCCTGAAACGCCAGCAACCTGCCTTGAACGACTTCAACTCACAATCGAACCAAAAGACATAGAGCGTGCACACCGCCTAGGGCGGCACACCAATAACAACAAACGGCCTATAATAGTGAAATTTTCGTCTTTCAAAACTAAAGAATCTATCCTTTCAAACAGCCCAAAACTAAAAGGTACTAACTTTAGCATTGGCGAAGATTTCACACACCCTGTTAGAATAGCCCGAAAAGAGCTCATTGCTTTCGCTAGGAGCAAATCTGTGCCATTTTCACTGCGCTTCCAAACTTTGCACATCGGCTCTAAGCGATACATTTACGACCACGAAGCAGGAATTGTCAAAGAAAAAACATAGGGATCAGTACGCCGACGGCAAGCGCGCCAACAGCCACGCACAAGCACTAAAGCTAAGCTTTCGTTTTCGGTTATTTATACTAACATCCGCAGTTTCCTTCCTAAGCGCATGCCCCTGTCTAATCTATTAAAATCATCTGGCAGTAGTATACTTTTATTGACCGAAACGTGGCTTACTGACGACATTTCGGATACAGAGGCTCTGGCTGACTTGCCGCACTTTAATCTTTTTCGTCATCACCGTAAGAACGCACGTGGTGGGGGAGTACTCATCGCCACTAGCAAAAAGCTATCTTGCTCCCTTATCAACATTCCTTCACAACTTGAAATATTATGGGTATTGTGCCGTGCCCCACCCGAAACAGTATTACTTGGCGTATGCTACAGGCCCCCTCGCTCTGATCCAAATTTCGCCCGCGAACTGAATGAAGTGCTGTCTACGCTTACTAATAAACACCCATCCGCACATATCCTCCTCTATGGCGACATTAATTTCCCAAATATTGACTGGATAAACGAAACACAACTAATTACAGGAAATGCCGAAGCAAGAGAATTTGTCGATGTTTGTCTGAACTTTAACCTTACGCAACTGGTGTTGGAACCAACTCGTGTAACTAGTGAATCTTCAAACATTTTAGATCTTATACTAACAAACAGCCCCGATAGCTTAGAATCTATCTCCTACTTACGTGAAATCAGTGATCATAAAGTCATTCATACTACATTAAACTTCATCCCTAAAACACGCCACATTTCCAGCAAAACAATTCATATGTACAACAAAGGTGATTATGAAGCAATCAATAATGAACTGCGAGATTTCCTGCCTGAGTTTGAATCCAGTTTCGATTCCAGATCTCTTAACAGCAACTGGTTAGTCTTTAGGGACAAAATATTCGAGTTAACTAATACATATATCCCAAAGATGAACTTACCTGCTAATCAAAATAAACCATGGTTTTCGAAACTTCTAATAAGGCAGGAAAATAAAAAGAAACGTCTTTTTCGTACTGCGAAACGTAATGGTACTGCGTGCGCATGGGAGAAGTACTATGCTGCAGAAGACGCATATTATGCTGCAATTCGAAGTGCAAAACAGACGTTTTATCGCATTGACTTACCTAAAATTCTAACAAATAACCCTAGAAAGTTCTGGGAAGTTATAAACCCGCAACCGCCGCGTGAAATAACGCTTACTGACCAATATGGTGAGGAAGTTAGCGACGGTGATTGTGCCGACGTTTTTAACATCGCGTTCTGCTCTGTGTTCACAAAAGAAGCCGATTCGCCACTTTCCTCGCCACCTACTACGACGTTACCGATAATGACTCCAGTGGAATTTTCTGTTGCTGGAATTTCGTCCCTTATCGACAGACTTAAACTTTCATCATCGGCTGGCGTTGACAACATCAACTCTAAACTGTTAAAAAACACTAAACAAATTATTGCAGTGTATTTGTCGATGCTGTTTTCATTGTCGCTTAAAACAGGAATGCTGCCAGAAGACTGGAAAGTGGGAAAGGTCATTCCGGTCCACAAATCAGGTAACAAACAGTCACCCCTAAATTACCGCCCCATTTCACTAACCAGCGTCTCATGCAAAATCATGGAACACGTCATATACACTCACATAATAAACTTTCTGGATGCTAACAATTTCTTTCATTCTTCCCAGCATGGATTTCGTAAATCTTTATCTTGTGAAACACAACTAGCTATATTTACTCATGATTTGCACGCTAATCTTGACCGTAACTTCCAGACTGATGCAATCTTTCTAGACTTCGCTAAAGCTTTCGATAAGGTACCACACAAACGCCTGTTACTAAAACTTGCCCAGTTGAATCTGCACCCCAAAATTCTTGCATGGATTTCAGAATTTCTTGCTAACCGTTCCCAGTTTGTCGATATTAGAAATAAACATTCTAGCTCCCTCTCGGTAACATCGGGAGTCCCACAAGGTTCCGTCCTCGGACCCCTTCTGTTTCTAATATATATTAACGATTTACCCATGCATGTATCTTCTCATATCCGCATGTTTGCCGACGATTGTGTTCTATACCGCAAAATTACTAACCCCTCTGATCAAACTGCACTTCAAAATGACCTTCATCGTGTACAGCAATGGTGCGACCTGTGGTTGATGGAGCTTAACCCCTTTAAATGCAAACTCGTTTCTTTTCAACGCCAGCATAATCCCTTGCATTTTTCTTACGTAATAGCTAACTCTACCCTTGAACAAATCAAATCCTATAAATACCTAGGCGTCACCTTATCCAGTGATCTTTCATGGCACACGCATATCACGAACGTCATATCATCATGCCCCACCTGACATCAAACTTCTCGCCTATAAATCTTTAATCCGAACTAAACTAGAATATGCAGCTCCCATATGGAGCCCGCACCAGGTATACTTGATAAATGAATTAGAGTCTGTGCAAAACCGCGCCACTAGGTTCATACATTCTTCATATTCATATAACATAAGCATATCATTCCTTAAACATGAAACTGGTCTTTCGAATCTTTCAGTGCGCCGCCGCATTACCAGTCTTTGTTTGCTACACAAGTTCTTTCACAGCCCTCTTAATCAAACACCCTACATCGTCCCACCGACGCACATATCTCACCGCACTGCCCACGCGTTTCAAATTGCCCGTCCACATGCTCGCACTACTACTTTTTCTGCCTCTTTTTTTCCCCGTGTAGCAGTGGACTGGAATGGCCTTCCCTGTGACGTTCCAGCCATCACGTGTCCATCAACATTTAAAGAGAAGGTCACCACGCACATTTCCATTTGAAAATCTGTGTGCATTTACCTGTAACCCACCCCTTATGTAATACCCCCTACATGGGGGTCTTTAAGGTATTAAAGTGAGT